ATGGTACGCAAGAAGTGCCCATCCAGCCAAAGCAACTTGTGGGAGGGGCTTCTAGAAGTGTGGGGTGAAATTTCTCCAGATTACCTCAACAAATTAACAGCTAGAATGCCAAAGGTCTGCAATGCTGTAATTGCTGCAAATGGAGGATTCTTTGACGAAAGCAAAGTTTGAAGGAAACAATTATTATTATTATTATTATTATTATTTTCTATTCATTTTCCAACTCATGTGGTAAATAAAAGTGTGACTTTTCATGGAAAACACAAAATTGTCTGGGTGACCCCAAACTTTTGAATGGTAGTGCGTGTGTGTGCGTGCGTGCGTGTGTGTGGACAGGCTCTGGACCCCCGTGACCCAGAAGGATAAGCGGGTTGGAAAATGGATGGATGTTAAAATGTCATGTGAAATGACAAAACGCAGGTGTGAATTATCTGCCAGAATTTCTAAAACCCTGACAGCACCGGCCTCCAAGTTGGTTATGGTGACCCTTTGCTGAAAACCGCAGCCATCGCTGGTTAACTTTTGCTAATGAGTCACCAAGTGGGTCCTCACAATAATATTCTCCAGAGCCTCATTCCCTCTTCAGACATCTGGATTAATCCTGCCTGTCAGTGCCCTGTCCTGCTTTGTGTTTTTCAGTGGAAGCTCTCCTAACAGATAGACCTGTACAGGTCAAGTGTACCTCAAGGGGATGGGAAGCACGTCTTACCCCTTGGGATTTGGTACTGTCCTGCAGCGGCTGAAATTCACAGATGTCATCTGAGTTCAGACTCCGAGGTTCCTCACTCGAAGCTATGGGGAAAACAGTTTACAACAACAGACTGCTTATCTAAACCGGACCAAACCTGGAACAATAATGGCAGAGCAGTCCGTAAGTCAACAAAATCCACTTATCAAAAGACAGTGTCACACCTTGCTGGGGACTCCCACAGTGGCAACCCCAAGGGAGTTAGATGTCTTCAACTGCCAATGTCTCCAGTGCTGCCCAATGGCAGGAAGTTAAGAACACAAGCCACTCACCTGGGCGAGACCTGTCCTTGATGTCGTCCTCGCTCGTCTGGCTCTTCTGGAGTCAGGAAAAAAAAATCTCAGTAATCTCATTAATTCTGATGACTAACGAGGTAGTGCCAGAATCAGCTGGAAACTACTGAGTAAGGGAAAGCTGCCATTTACCTCTAGCCAGCTTTGTAAGGGTCCATCTTCAATGTCTGAAGCCTGAAAGCAAAAACATCATGTAAGTGACCTACATGGGACAACACCTAGCGTTCATGTGAACTTTGGTCTGTCCACTGAAGACCACACAGATGCTGGGCGTGTGAGTGCATGTAGGAACCCACTCTCACCAGTTGTGGAGATGCAGGACAACTTGTCTGGCGTAGCTTCCCCTCCAGTGAGATGACCTTGCCTTGCGTTCGGAACAGCTGGACTTGCAGTTCATCACAGCGCTCGCCCAGCTCCTGGATCTGCTTCCGATACTGGTCCTTAGCCTGGATGTTCTGGCAGTTCTCCATGTGATACTCCTCTCTGGTACGAATCGCCTGCAAGGCGACACAGACGACAATGCAGAAAGCGACACCCCACCCATAACCATTCTGATGCCTCGGTTACTGGTGATTTCCATTGCTGATACTCTGATGTAAAACATGCGCACCTTGTCCCTCTCTGCTGTCACCTCCTCCATCTGTTTCACAATGTCTTCCATCCGCTCGCGATACACCTTGCAGTCTTTCTCTAGTAGGGTGCACTGCAACTCCCACACCTCCTTCTCATTCATGTACTGGGAACAAGAGTCAAGCATCATTGTGACTGGGGGGGG